GAAAACACTTAGACAAATTTCGCCACAAAATGGCAAGCCGAGCACAAGCATGCCCCGAGGAAAACACTTAGGCGAATTTCGCCACAAAGTAACAGCCGAGCACAGGCGAGACTCAGGGACATAACTTAGGCAAATTTTATCACAAAATATAAAAACATAGACACGGGCAAATAATAAAGGTCGAAGCAAACATTCATTCAAAAGCTCGCAAGCAAAAAACAAATAGAAATAAACCGACCAAGAAGGCCGGCAATGTTCAGAAATCACAAGAACGGGCACACAGGCCCAAAAAATATGCACGGGCACGCAGGCCCCAAAAACAACTATCAATAAACAGGCGCGCAGGCCCGACCAGAATTCCACAGGCTAGACTTCCCCGGGGCTACCAGCATCCACGACAGGAGACTCGGGCGGAGGCACGACCTGACCGTCGATGATCTGGGACATAAAACCCACCCCTCGGTATTCAAACCAGGCTTCAATAAAGTAAGCTGGCTAACCGCGGCCTCAAAACCATCCTCCAAGGCTCCAACACAGTCCGTTTCGAGGAGGTGAATCTGCGCGACCAGATCCGAGCGACTTCGTAAGGGGGCTGTCTCCTCCGACTCATCTTCGGCGGGGAGCATGGCGGCCTTCAGATCCTCGACTTCTTTGGCCAGACGCTCGTTATCAGCCTCCAAGCGTTCCCGATCCAGTCGAAAGTAGTCCCTTTCCTCGGCAACCTTCCCCGAGTTCTCTTTCTCCGCAGCCAGCAGCTCGGCTTGCTCGCGGAACATCTCCTCAGATCGCTCCAGATCAGCCTTCAACTTTCGAGAGCCCGCAGCAAGGGCAACTTTCTCCTTCTCCAGCTCTTTGACGCGGTCAGAGTCTGTCCCCTCCTCAACGAGGACAATGGCCATCTCAACCATCTTAACCATCCCGACCATGTTGGCGGCCAGATGCTTTCGCCGAATTTCTTTATTTAGCCGCCTGATGGTGTCCACCTCCTCAACACTCACAGTCAAGGGAAACCCTTCGAAAAAGCTTTCCTCTTTAAAGCAGGGGGGCAAGCCAAAGGCCCTCACCGCGCCTGACTCGTCGCCGACTTCCGGCTGACTCTCTACCCGGTTTCTCTTCCTCGGTATCAGATCAATATGCTACTCGACGTCCTGGGAGTCCGGGGACCCGCCAGAAGCATCACCTGAACTAGATGGCGGGCCCATCCTCGTCGCTTGTGGAGCTCGCACCATCCTTTTATTGACTTTCTTATCCTGTGTCAATTTAAGAAGCCTCTCCTTTCGTCCGGCCATATGACCTGCAAAAAAGAAAGCCCGGGTTAGTTACGAGCAAGTAACAAACGAAGAAACTAGAACAAAACTATAAGACAAAAAAGTAACCTAGTAGGTTCGCGGCCTGCTCGTAGGACTGACACTCCACAAACGCCTTGGTATCTATAGGACGGGCCTCGAAAGTCGGGTAACCATCCTCGTCGAGAATGTCCTTTCCCTCCCTCGTGGACCACCAGGCAGGGAAGAAACTATCGACATATCTGCAAAGGGTACCGTAGGCTTCCTCGTCCTTGGTACTCATCCCTCTCGCGGGCGTATGGTAATGCCTGGTGCCATGCTCGTAATGGCGCGAGCTCCAATGCAATGGGAACTTAGCTACACGCCCCAACACCGGGCGACCCTCACCGTTCATAAGAGGCTCCCTGTTATCATCAGTCACTGCAGTCTCTTCTTCATATATAGAATCCAGAGCAGTCTGGGTGATCGGCCGCACGACATACCATTTGTCCTTGAAACCCCGGACCGAGTCCATGTACATCCTGAACAGCCTCTTCGACTGTTTCAGGGAAACCCTATGCCTACCTCCCCGAGACTGGCGTTGCAAATGAAAAACTCTGAAGAAGAGAGGGATGGTCGCCCCAATCCTTAAAAAGCGACACGTCAGCTCGAACGCCCGAAGAAAGGCGATCGAGTTGGGGTGGAGCTGCGAGGGGGCCAACTCCAGATGACTGAATACCCCAACCTGGAAATCACTAAAGGGGAGCTTGAGACCGAGGTCCTTGAACGCAATTTCATACATGGGAAACCCATACTCAGAGAACTCCGAGCATATCCGCGCGTTAAGAGACGGTCTGGTGACCACAAAGTTTTTCTGAAAGCCCGACTGACTACCGCCATGCTCGACGATAGTGTAAGAACTCCGACTGCACCGACTATATGTTGAGGCGATCCCTCTGGGCTCGGCGCCCACCCAATCCAGCAAAGTATCATCAACGATATCGATTAGAGTTACATTTTCCTCGGCACTCTGGTCCTCGACCTCGTTGTGCCCCGAGGACTCCGGTTCATCAGCCATTTTACCTACAAAGCACAGGAAACCAGTCAATTTGGGAGCAAATCCATACGCTCGCCATAATTGACGGGAAGAAGGGCACGACAAGGCAAGTCACACTCCGTGCACGATAAAACATTGAGGACTCGAACAAGAGCTTGGTTTCACCTCCCCGACGCCAAGGTGCCACAACGAGTCATCCTACATACTACCTAAATGGGCCAACATCCCGGCCAGTCATGAGTACGTCGACCTAAACTCTGAATATGACGAGCAGTATCATGAATCCTAAACCTAGAACTATGGGTTTACTGGGCAGTATCATAAGTTATGCACCCAAAGCCATGAAGATCCCGAGCAGCATCGCAAGTCACATACTTAAAGCCATGCGTTCACCGGGCACAAACATGCGTTTACCGGGCAAAAACATGAACATACCGGGCATGAACACGAATGTACCGGGCACTAATCCTAGATACGGATTTCTAACATACAAATAAAGGAAAAAATCACCTACCACAGAGAAAAATATGAGGGATAAAACGCTTACTTGGAAGTTAGGAAGGATGTACGGCAGAAGGGAAGAAAATCGACGGCGGAAAGCACGGTGGTCCTATGAAATTCTAGAAAAACAGCGGCGGCAAAGGCAGAGGAAGGAGGAGAAGCGCGAAGAGGAAAAACAGATTATGGGACCCAAGGATCCTATTTATAGGGATGACGTGGAATACGAAACGTCACCCCGGGGAACCACGAGTTTCCCCTCCTCGACGCCTACTCCCCTAGGCAATGATGACCCTACTTTTAATAGGGTGGCGTCACGGTTCCCAAGAGTTGCTTTGCATACCCAACGAGCACAGCCCGCAAAGAATCCACCGAGCACGCCTCGAAAGGGATTATCTCACGAACGCAACGCATGAGAAACTCCTCGAGCAACCACGGGGAAGCAAATATCCTGGCCGAGCATAAGGCCCTGTGACAAAGACGAGCTGAGATCAAGTCATAACTCCTGCTCCAGGAGCCACGACTTGGGGACTCCTGTTCTGGACTGGGCCCGTCCTGGCCCAAGAGCAAGAACGAAGGCCCAATCCAAGCAACTCTTCAAGGAGCACGCGCTCGAAGATTCCTACCAGCGCGTCGACCAGAAGCTGCAGCCTTGCCCGCCGCTGCCCGTGAACATGACGTCCTCGACCACATGAAGTCCAACTCGAGCCCAGCTCGAGCACCCTCCTCGTAGGGTAGACTATGACTGTTACCCCATCACCTGAACTCCGGAAAGACCGCGTCCTCTTCCCTCCGTACTTCTCGCAGAGCATCACCAGGAAGGGGACCACGTGCGGGTCCCTACTACACACGTAGAACTTGGCAGTTCCTTTATTGGGTCAGTCCTGGTCGGCCCAATGAAGGGACATTGGCCCTGCGCTGGGGGCTATAAATACCCTCTATTACTAGAGGGTCAGGTATTCATTCTCTTATCCATACACACACTTTTTGCCTGCTCATACTATCACTCACTTTAGCATCAGAGTGCCTTGCAGGTACCTCCCCCATCTCGCTCAATTTCCGCTCGGAGCCAGTTGTGACGGTCCAAGTCTGATCAGGTAAGATCAATTTTCATAGTGTAAAATTATAAGAAAAAAATAGGCAAAGTTACAGGGACCAATCGATTACTGCAAGGTGCAAATCGATTGCTTCTGAAGGAAAATAGAAATTTTGCCCAAGTGTTTATGCCATGATAAAATGTATGAGGTATGCGCTGAGTGTTTGATCATTGAGCATCTAAAGCTTTAGTGAAGATAAGTATTGTCATTATACCTTCTTGAAACTTAATTCAATTGATTCCAAAGCTTTGAACATAGTGTTTTATCTTTGAGATTCATATTTGCCTTCTTAATATTAAAAGCTTTGTCTTCGTCAAAACATATTCAACATAGAGAAATTTGACTTCACAAAGTAGTAATCTTTTAACATATGTCTCTATTTGACAACTATCCAATACAAAAGGTTATAGATCACTGAAACCATATAACGCACTACAAAAAGTCAATTAAAATGTCATATTAAAGTACACAATTTTCTAACTCAAAACACCCCTCGCATTCACCCATCAGTGACTTAAACATCAAATAGCATGTTTGATTTCAATTCTAGAAGGATAAAAAAAACACTTTTAGAAGTCTAAAATTGATTTTACAATGATTTTAATATACTTGGTTAGATTAAAATAAAATTGATTATGTCTCCAAAATTAGTTCTACTTAAAACAAGAATTAATCACTAAACCAAACATACAGAAAGTATTTGGAAATATCTTATTGCTGAAACAAATCATTACAACACACTCAAAATATTAGAATTAACATCATATCTAATTTCACCTTTAGTTGAGAAAATCACATGTCTTAACAAGATCAATATTTTTTTTTGGGTCAAGTTTGCAAGATCAATATTATTAATATATAAAAAAAATATATTATTTTGAAATTTAAATATGGCAAGTAAGCAAAAAATGAATAACAAAAACGTGAGACATCATTAACGGGGTTTAATTAAACTAAATATCAGAATCACTTTTTCCTCTCATTTTCAGAACCAAACCCTTGAAACTTTGTTCCGTAAATCTAAAATCTAGCTTTGCGTCGGTCGGGTGTGGCGAGCGAGCGAGCGAGCTAGAGTCGAAAAAAATGGAAGATACTGAAACGAAAGAGAGAATCGAAGAAACAGTTCTGAAGATCTTACAAGAATCAAACATGGATGAAGTCACCGAATCCAAGATTCGTAAGCAAGCCTCCAACGAACTCGACCTCAACCTATCTCAGCCTCCTTTCAAAGCCTTAGTCAAGCAAATCATCGAAGCTTTTCTCAAACAGAAGCAGCAGCAACAAGAGGAAGCGGAAGAGGAAGAAGAAAAACCAAAGCCCAGACAAGACGCAGTTTCCAGCAGAAACAACAATGTGTATGATGATTCCGGCGATCTCGTTATCTGCGAGGTTTGTTTTCTGATTTCAGTGATGAATTGAACAGAAAAGGGTTAAGGGTTACTCCTGAATTTTATTTTGTTTTTTTATTTATTTTTTATTTTCAGCTTGGGAAAAAGAGAAAAGTGACAATTCAGGATTTCAAAGGGAGAACTTTTGTGTCTATAAGGGAGTTTTATAACAAGGATGGCAAGGAACTTCCTTCTTCTAAAGGTAAATTCTGTTAAGGTTTCTGCATGTAGGGGTTTTGTGTTATCACAAGTTGTTTTATGGTACTGATATATTTTAATTATAGCTGCTGTTCTGTTTCAATTCTCTTTGGTTTCGGTACCACTTTAGCGGTCTCAAGTTTTTGGAGGCTCTGTGTAGATTACTCACTCGCTCGCTCGCTGTTAAATTGTGACAAAATAGAGGTCATTTTTAAATAGGGTTTGACTAACAAACATTTTATGAAGCCTTATTTTGACACGGTTTAACAGTGACAAATTTTAGATCGTTTGCACGTTCTCAAAGACGGTCATGCACTTTAGCATATTTTGTGAATGTTTCTTTGGGCGCATCAAAATATGGACTTTGGAGGTTTAGTTTATGAATTTAGTTGAGCCTTTCAAGTGTAGCACTTCATTTCGTATCTAAGAAACAGTTGGATTAATAATGGATCGGGGTCTCGTTGCCAATATTACTTAATTCTGTCAATATGACTTGGCTGGTCTATATATTCCTTACGCTCAATGTTATCAAATAGCGGCACCGTGGTTGCTATGGCGGGATATACATGGCGGTTTCAGACTCGCCACAATGGTAAATATTGGTCGATATTGCTGGTTTTTCCGCCATAATCCACTATAACGGTGCTGCAAAGCAGCCGGTATGACGGGATTTTGGCTCTCTGTTATGGATGCATTGACAAAACTGCTTGCGCGGATCATGATATAGTGTCATGAATTGAAACCACCTTTCTTATATTTATTTAAGATTAGTTTACATGCCATATTGTCAATTTGAGTATTTAGACATAGAAGTGTCAGTGTTGCAATTGGTAAGAAAAAATTCACCCTGCTAAGAACTTCATTTTACCTCTGCATTAAAATTAAAATGTTTATGCATGTTTTAGCGAATTGGATTCCAAGAATTGCACAAAGCCATTCCCCTGTAACACAATGTGACTTATATTGTTCTACTTTTGATTTTGCTAAATTGATTTTCTGCTGAATGTCATGTCATGCTCACATTCGATTCAACACACCACTCTTTTTACCAAGAATTTCAGAGACATTTGTATTATGAAACGTTCTGCTGACTTACATCTGATATTTTGGAGTTGGAGTTAGATAGACACCAATTGAAGTTATGTGGATCAAACCATTAACTGGATTTTGATTAAAATGTTCACTGGTAGACTTAATTTATGACACCGGATTATGATGCATTGTACTTCATACTCATGTAGCCAACTCCGCCCAGTGGAAAAAAACTTAGATTCTCATTGATTTGATTTGCAGTTTTTTCCTTGTAGATTACCTAATTCTGTTCTATAATTGATGGCACTTTCCGAATCCTAATTTTTTTGTGTGCTTCAGGAATAAGTTTGACTGGGGAGCAGTGGTCAACCTTTAAGAAAAGTGTGCCAGCCATAGAAGAAGCCATTCAGGAAATGGAGTCGCGTGTATGAGAATGTGATGATTTAAGTCTACAGATCAAAGTATTCATCTCATTATCTGGTGAATGAGCAAACCACATTCTTCATGGTCTCAACTCTTAAATGGACGTGGCTTTGTTTTTTTTTTTTCCGTTTGTAATCTGAATATCCTGCATCATTGGTGACCTTTTGATACTGGACCATTTTGTCTAGAACTTGAAATCACTGTGAATCCTGTTTTGTTCAGTGTATTGCACTTGGAGTACAAGTACTTTAGGAAGACTTTGGAGAAGATGCAATGAATGCTATTAGATACGGTAATCGGTATTTCCTTCCATATTTTTCTTGGCTTCATTTCTTCTGTCATGTTTTACTAGACACAGGCTTTTTCCGGTTAGTTCTTTGTTATGGCTTAGGATAGTAATCTTTCATCAATGTTAGTGTTAATTTACCCTTGCCAAACTTGAAATTTTATGATTAACATTCTGATATGAACATTTATCACATTTGCAACTCTAGTGATTGGTTTGTGTTTGGCTATGACATCCACGGTGACTTCAGTCCTCACCGTCTTCACTCTTCACTACTTAGATGATGATGTTTTGATTGACTAAAACTAAAGAAAACAATTCTGAGCCAATTGTTTTTGAGTCATTCACAACAAAATTCAAGAAATACTGTCACTGAAAAGAGATCAATAACACTTGTTATTTTTATTTGTATAAATTATATTACGCTTGAATCTTTCTTGGCAGTGACTCAGAATCACACTTGTTGGAAACAAATCTGAACGTTAGATCTGAACATCAAAAAAATGAAAAATATGAAGGCCAGATGTGAACATAAAAAAACACCTTGTTATGGATGTTATTGTTCCAAAGTTTGAAAATATTTTTCTTTCGGTTAGGGTCACAAATACAATCCTGCATGCATATAAACTCTACTATACCTTAACAGCCTATAGTCTACTTTTTGATGACCCTGTACTCAACATTTTTGATGACCATGTACTCTAACATTTTAGAATACTACAAAGGTGAAATTTCCCAATGATGAATACTTTGTAGTGCTCCATCCCTGCAAGCTTCATTAGCGCAACAGTGTATAAACATCCAAAAGTTAGGGGTGAGGGTTGATATACTTGATAAAGTTAAGTAAAGCTTATAATTTCAACTTTTAATTTCAATCACTATAAGAAAGGTGTACCCTAAGGAACAACTTCTAGCAGAAACTTTTAGGTGCAAAGATGCAAACATACAACAAACATGTTTATGGAAGTGCATATCTAAAATATTATCTCCAGATTAATTTTTTACAAAAATAAGAGTGATTCACTAAGGATTTGTAAAAACATATGTTCGGAGATGAATTCAAACACTAGGGAGATTAATTTTAGAGTTTTTAAGAGTGTCGTCGGCATACTAATAGTGGAAACAACATCCCTCTTTGTGCAAAATCATGTCTCCTTATCAACCATTATTCAAAAACTACCTTATAAGAAAATTAAAGTTATTTATTGATATTCTTAAATAATTCAATATTTTTAATTATTATTTAAAAAATAAAAATTAGAAACTCATCTTTTTTATTTTCTCAAACACATGGTTCTTCTTCATCCAAACACAACTTTATTTTTTCATTAAAGATGATAAAAAAATTAATGATATACACAACTATTCAAGTCAAAAAGTAAAACTAAAATGTAGAATCCAACATATAGTTATGCGTTATTTATTTTCTAAATTTTTGTTAAAAATAGAATAAAAAATATTTAAATAATTCCTTGTTGATCTTTGTAGGTAGATGTTAGGTTTGCATCAAACATAAAAAAATATAAAACTACACCACAACAATATATATATATATATATATATATATATATATATATATATATATATATATATATATATATATATATATATATATATATATATATATATATATATATATATATATATATATATATATATATATATATATATATATATATATATATATATATATATATATATATATATATATATATATATATATATATATATATATATATATATATATATATATATATATATATATATATATATATATATATATATATATATATATATATATATATATATATATATATATATATATATATATATATATATATATATATATATATATATATATATATATATATATATATATATATATATATATATATATATATATATATATATATATATATATATATATATATATATATATATATATATTCGTTCTTATAAATAACTTAAATTCCATTTTAATCCTTATATTTTTTTTTTGAATAATGGTTCTCATAAAAATTTTCATCTATATTTTTTATTCTTCCTATTAAAATCATCGCAAATTCAATCGATAAGTAGAAATCGCCACTAATTATGTCGCTAAGTTGCATGAGGGATTAAATGTGTGATAAAATTTTTTAAGAGGACCATTTTTCGAATCAAATTTTTTGAGAGATTAAAAGTAAAATATGAGATATTAGGAGAATCACAAACATATATATATATATATATATATATATATATATATATATATATATATATATATATATATATATATATATATATATATATATATATATATATATATATATATATATATATATATATATATATATATATATATATATATATATATATATATATATATATACACTGAACTGGACTGGGCCTGCACTTGTCCTTCGGTTGGGAAGCCTAGTACAACACCCTTGTATAAGGTCCAAAAGCAAGCAGTCCAAGCTAGAGACCGTTGGGCAACTCCCCACACATTCGTTGAGGAAGTGGCCCACATCTCCACATCACCGTCATCTTAATTGCCCTCCGGAAATCACGGGTCCAACCCTTATTCTCACTGAGCAGTCGACTAGGGGGGAGTCCACTTGTTGAACTCCATACACACGTAAGCCCTGGCAGTCTCCATTATTAGGCCTCAACGTGGCCCAACAAAGGAGACCTTGACCCAATGTTGGAGGCTATAAATACCCTCTCTTTCGAGAGACTCAGGTATTGAACATTTCTCACTCTTACTTGCTTGCTCATTCTGAATCTCACTTTGGCATCAGAGTGTCTTGCAGGTACCCCCTCAGCTCACTCTCAAGTTCTGCTCGACGTAAGTTGTGACGGTCTATTCTGGTCAGGTATGATCAGTGGCGCCGTCTGTGGGAAACACAACTTCCCCGTCTTTCTTTCATCCAAGACAAAAGCTAATCCAACTCCTTTTTGACTGTCATGGTTGATCTCATAGTAGAAAACAACCTGAATGTCCATCCCGCCGACGTCAACAACAACATCGCCGACATCAATAACGCTGGTGTTGCTGGCCTCAACACCGATAACAATAACAATATCGGCAATAACAACAACGGCCACGCCGTTGACATCCCCGACCCCTCAGAATATAGAGACAAATTAACTGCCTCATCATCATCACTGTCCAGACGACTCGAGGATGATCGTCGTCCTCCTAAGAACTACCAATCGAACCAGTTCCAAGAGGTCCCATATCCTGCGGGCGCTGATGCCACGACCAGGGCGCTGTTCGTGACTATAAATCAAATAAACTACTTGATCTTCTCACAAGGTGAGAGATTAAGGGTGCTCGAAGATTCTCGAAGAGCCCCTAGAAGACACAGGAGGCCTGATTCTCCTCCTGCCCGTCAGATAGAGGACCGTCCCCAATCTCCCCCGTAGAGATGCAGACGGGATGCCTCTCGAAGCCCCTTTCCCCGACAAACTGGGCGACGCCCCATGTTGGAGAGGAATCGGCCTGTTGATACGGGGAGACGTGATCATATTCCCCCACTCCAAGAGAGAAGACCCCCTGGAAACAGAAACAGGGGGAATGACGAACAATGACACCAGCCGAGGAATCCTCCCCACAACTAGAGTCGTCATCACGATTGCCATTATAACAAGTCACTTTCTCGATCTCTAGACAGAAGCGACAAAGACGACCATGCGGTCCCCTATCCCAGGCTATTATGGATGCACCCATTCTCCCGGGTATGGAGAAACCTCCCCATCTAAAGGAGTACGACAACATTGCCGATCCAGTCGACCACATTGACGGGTTCGAGGCAATGCTGCACTATCATAATGTCGGGGGACCGATCAAATGTCGGTTGTTCCCCACGACTCTAAGGAAGACTGCGATAGACTGGTATAAGAACCTCACCCCGGGGTCAATTACCTCCTAGAAAAACTTGAAAAACCAGTTATCAGCTCATTCACTGCCTCACGTCGACACCCGAAGACTGAGGCAGCCCTCGAGGCCATCGTCCAGAGAAGCGACGAGACCCTCAGGGAGTTTATTGACCGGTTCAATCGCGAGGCCATTCAGGTCCCTTGAACCGATTATATGAGAGATACCTGCTCGAGAGGGGACTCCTCCCGGGCACAGAGTTCAGAAAAGCCGTTGGCATCAAACCACTACGGACATTCGATGCTCTCCTAAAAAAGGATAAGGCCTATATGGACTATGAGGAGAGGGAATCGGCCAATAGAGCCCGGGACCCAAGGAATCATGGATCAACCATCAACTCGCGACAACAAGATTCGGGCCCTCCTCGACGAACGGGCGAGAAGAGGAATGATGACAAACTACGGGATCCTCGCGAGTAAAGAGGGCCTGCAAGGAGATTTACTAAGTACATTCCACTGACAGCTTCCCGCGAGCGCATCTTAGTGGAGTGTGCTAATACTGATTTCAAGGACGGCGGCATCAAGCGTCCTCATCCTGCTCTTACTAAGCTCGGGGCTGACAGGAGCAAGTACTGCCAGTATCACCGAAGCCATGGACACCTGACTGAAGATTGTGTCCACCTTAAAGACGCTATTGAAACCCTCATTAAAGGGGGAATAATTGGGAAATATCGGCGCGGTGACGCCCCTCGGGGAGATACCCGCGACACAAAAGAGGCTGATGAGGATTCCCGACCATCAGACGAGGCGGTCCCCATCCAGACAACCTTCTCCGTTACAAGACCGGAGGACTTCTACGTC